CAAAACTCACCAAAAGAGTCGACTAACACAACTCCTTTCAACTTTGTTTATGGGCACAAAGCAGTATTGCCTCTAGAGATTAATCTGCAATCAATCAGAGTGCAAAGGCAATCAGATATTCCTACTGAATATTATTGGGGAATGATGTATGATACGTTGGTAGATGTTGAAGAACATAGGCTAGCAGCATTAGATACTTTCTTCATACAAAAGGAACTAGTAGCAAGGGCCTATAACAAAAGGGTGAGTGTAAATGTGTTCGTCTTTGAAGATATAGTATGAAAAGTGATCCTGCCTATGGATAGGAGGGATAGAGTCCTTGGAAATGGTCACCAAACTGGGAGGGACCATTTCAAGCAGTGAAGCTTTTTCCAATAATGCTTATGAGATTGAGGAGCTCACACCAGAAGGTCAAATACTACGAGTAAATGGCAAATACTTAAAGATGAATAGGCCTATATTGTAAGAAATTATGATAAATAAAGGATAAAATTCATTGCATAATAAGGAGGCCACCAAGGGGCCTGAAATGTGAATTAAGCATTACAAAGAATTATGGGAAGAACAAATTCAGATTACATGTAAAATCGAAAGGCTAAAAAGGCACATTATTCTTGAGGGTTATATAGCATTCTCGAACAAGTTCCAGACGAGCATTGGTTAACGAGATAGAGGTGTAAAGGTCGGCTAGCTCAATATCCAACACACTAACATGATCCAGATGAGCGACCCCAACCAGAACTTAATTATTCAACGGTTGTTCAGCTGCGTAAAACCCAGTAGCTTGCAAAGTCTCTACATCATCAATTTGTTTCTCCAGCCTTTCAATTTGTTGCTTCAACACTACGATCTATTGTTGCCATTGGGAAATATTTGCAGCCCTAGTGTTAAAGTCTTCTCTTTATTTGTCAAGATTTTCCTTCAGTTCTTCACTAGTAGCCATAGAAGAATTCACAAAATCCAATTCAACAGTGCGCTATTTCTCCTTGGGAAGGCGTCTTTCCTGGATCTCTTTCTTTTCATCCAAGTCGACCAAAAGTTAATCAAGGAAGGTAGACACTTCAGCCACGAATTTTAGGACTAAAGGAGAAGCAGCTTGAACGTCAACTTTCTTCGGCATTTCTTTAATCTTAATACCATCAGAGGGATACGCCTCCAAATGGGTGATCAAATCAACATGAAAGAGCATGGTTTTGAGACTATTAAGAAATTATTCTTGAGTCCCAATATAAGAGATACCTCTAGATGCAATAGAAGTATTGGAGCCTCCGTCAGTCGAACGGTTCCTAGCGTTCACCAAAAAGTTTAAATACTCAAAGGGGCTGGTGTGCCTTAGAGCAGCAACTTGTTGGGGAGACATGGTGTTGGTCGTAGGAATCATGTTGGGAGGGGTCAAGATGGTGCCAAAAAAGGTTGGTGCCTGAAGAGTCACTTCTTCTATTTAGAAGGGATTTTGGTTGGCAATTTATGGTGACATCAACAGCAGCATCAAGGTTGTCATTATTAGCGCCGTCCTCCAATTCCTTACTGATGGGAGAATACTCAGAAGTACCCTGGGTGATAGGAGAGTTGAGGATGCTCCTAGAAGGCTCGCTATCAGTCAAGACCACAGTTGGTTTCCTTTTGGTCTTGGGAGATTTCAAGACAATCTTAGTGGAGCATTTTTTAGTTTTAACTACCAGTCGCTAAAACAATAAAGGCAAGTGAGAACAGAATCATCAAAAGGACAAATGATTTCTAAGATAAAGAGTCTTTGAAGAAGAAGGTACCTGATGGTCTCCTTTAGTACTAGAGTTAATGCTTTGTGGTCGAGTTGGCATAGGCTGCAAAACTCGTTCTCTTGCTACCACCGGAGCAGGCACAGTGGCGGATGTGGCCTTTTTTGAAGCAACCTCAGATCGAGTCGACATGGAATTTTTGGAGATGGCGCAAAAACGCGCCGTCAGCTGGTTTCTCTTAATTATAAGAGTGTTTCTGTCTCTTTAGGGACGGTTCAGGAGGGACGACAACGTTAGCTTCAGGGGCCTATGAACGTGACAACATAATCAGTGGGTTAGAAAGAGAACGTAAATAGATAGTAAACTACCAAGTTAGCATATTACCTAAGAAGAAGTTCCAAAGGCCTCATTAGCTGAGGGAGAAACACTTGCACCACTAATAGCTTCCTTGGCGCATTTCTTGTGCTCAACCGCTAAATAAGGCAATAACATAAGACAAAGCGTTAGAAGTCAAAACATAAACAAGAAGGCGACTAACGGTTACAATAATAAGCCATACCTTTCCTAAACTTTTGCTGCATGGCTTTAAAAGCATGGTTCAGTTGAGCTTTGAATGACTTGAGAGTCCCATTACTTTGCACAAAGTGCACAATTCACCAATCATAAAACTCCTTAGTGGTGTATAAAAGGGGTTCAAAGGCTACAAGAGTCATCTTGGGGACATCAGTAGAAATATTTTGAAGTCATTGAGCATATTCTCCCTCACTGTAGCTTTTAGATGAAAGACACAGTTCATCTAATGGCGCTTATAAAAGTTGCGAGGAAAAGGTTTGCACAAGCCAAACTGTCTAGCCACCAGATTAGACTGATAACACAGGATTGTCACGCCATCATTAGCACCTATCCTAGATGCTATGAGCCTAGGGGTTAAGAAAGCTTGCCAAATGGGATTGGATTTAGGGACCTACGCAGGATCGGCAAGAGGAAATGGTTGAGTGAACAACTCAGGACCATGTGGTCTATAGGCAAAGGGTGCCATGCTTGGCTGAAAAGAAGTAGACCTAAAGAAAAACTACAAGTATTTATTAAGATACTCCTCTCGATTCATGTCATTGTTAGAAGGCGTCATTGCAGCAAGACGAAGGCTTTCGTTAGCACGTTGGGTGAATGGTCTAAGCTGGCTTGCAAAAGTGCAATTTAACAACAATTGAAGCAGCCAGAAAGATCCAACAAGAAGATAGCTTGTAATAGATGAAAGTGAGGTCATATGATTGACCCCCACGCTGAGTGATTCATAGAGCGACCCAAAATAAGTTTGCTTAGGCATATGTGTCGACTCAGATGGAGGTGATTAGCTAACGCAATGAATAGTTTAGATACCTTCAGAGATCGACTGCAAAAAACATGCTTGGAAAGCCACAAGGCCAAGAAGGAAATGTGTTCTTGATCAGATACAGTGTTGATACCTTTGGTGTGAAAACGCTTCATATATTTGGTGAAGCCAGTAATGTCCTTTTCAAAAGGAATAACATTTTTGTCTGCTTTAGTGGGAAGAAACGTTTCACCTGTAGGGAAGAGACCAGTGATAACCGTAATATCAAATAGGGTGGGAGTAAGCATCTCAGCTGTAAAACGGAAGGTGTTTGTAGAGCCTTCCCAGAAGTAGAGTGCGGAAATCAGCATGTGATTGCAATAACTAGGGCTAACCCTAGAAAGCTAAATCAAGTCAAAAAAGCCTTGAGCCTTCCAAACGTCACCCTTCACTTTCTCTACTTTATTCAACCATGGAATGTAATCTTGGTTAACAGCAGGGGTGGAATGGAAGACTTTAGACATATGGTAGATGTGTGAAAAATTTATAGAGAAATCTCTGTTGATAGGGGGTTTGGTTGTTTTGTAAGTAGGGAAGCAGCCTTCCAAGTGTTTAGGTACCCTAACCTCATCAAGAATAGGCCCCAATAGAGTGTAAACAATTTTGTTGTAAATGAAGGGAAGAAACAGTTGGGAGCAAAAGGTTTGGAGATTGTGTGTTGGCGTTGGTTCTAAGAAAAGTGTTTTGATCATGAACGAAGGACTCACTTATATTTGAAACCAGTTCAATTTCCTGGGGAGATTGAATGTATTCAGAGATTTGACTTAAAGCGACCATGGAGATGATGGAAAGTTTTTATGGGTAAAAGTGAAAATGAAAGTTTTTATGGTGTACAAAGACAAAGAGGTTGAGTATACAAAGAAACATAAAGATGAAATTGGATAGATGAAAGGGTTATTTATACCATCAAAGAGACCAAACGTTAGGAAGAAGGTTGGTGAGTTGGAGGCCACGATTATCCTAGGAAGTTGAAACTAGAAACAGGGAAGTGGTTATGTGATCGCTAATGTAAGGTTTGAGGGAAAAGGTCATGATTACAATGACGTCAATTCACACTAAGAGAAAAGGATTAAAATGTCCATTTCTGTTCTTTCAGTTGAAAAGGACATTTTGGAGGGAAATTTGTTGGCTAGGATTTTAACAAAGCGTTAAAATCCAACCAAAAGCAAAAAAGGTTCTTTGAAGATTTTGAATTATAGGAAATCGACCACAGAAGCAGTCGACCGGAAGATGTTTCATAAAAGCCCAATTTGGGATTGTAGATGCAGTCGACCAGAAAAAAGGCTTCATGAGGAATGGATTGGGCCTATGAGTGTTAAAAAGCCCAAAAGAGGGCATAACTAGCAAAGCAAAGCGTTGTGAATGGAGAGCATGGGTCCGATAACAGGAATGGAGAACATGGGTTCGATAGCAAGGATGGATAACGTGGGTTCATGGAGGAAAGTTACAAGAGACATTTGGCTCATAAAGAAGTGAAGCCCACTGAAAAGTAGTTATTTTCATGTATTATAAATGAAGCACTTGGGGCATAATGTAAAGGGTTCAAACTTTCACATTCCTACACGCTAGTCACTCAGAGTACCAAGCGAACGAGCGAAATGAGTCAAGCAAGGGCGATGTATGTTTGAATCAACCCATTTTCAACTATTTTAATGTTATGTCATCTATTTTTACAGTTTAAAACGTCTTTGTTTTATTTTACAATTCCTACTTTATTGCTTTTAAATACGTCTCGCCTTAGTTGAACGAACCCTTTTGAAGATACTTTATGAAAACACTCGAAAACTGAAGCACTATAATGAGATTCCCTGGTTGATCTCGCCAGTAAACTTTCTATTAAGAGACCAGCGTTGTTTACCAAAACTAGAGGTACACACTTAGTTTTATAGCTTTTCATAATTTTATTAGGTTTAGGGTTCTAGCATCCTAACAAAATCTGCCCATTCTAACTTTTGATTCTCAGATACAACAAACAATTGACCAAAACCCTCTATGTCGTCCGAGGTTCGCCAAAATTTCTTCTTCTCTTCCGTCGGAAGACTTAGAAACTCATGAACACCTATCTTCACATTTTCCACTATTGAATGATTCACTCCATGATTAATCAGCTGCACTCAATTTCATTTTTTGAAAACATTACAAAGTTAATAAAATAAAAGTACAATAACTATATATAATATCAAAGACACTCCTAATTACTTTAATTCCTCTTTGTTCTATATCAAGTTACTAGTATTGATCTATATTAACGAGTAAATTTTCCTAGTCGATATTCAGAGCCGTCTCAAGATTTTAGAATCTCTGTGTAAGTTAGCTACAATTTAACTATAATAAAACATATAGAGATCTTATTTAACTAGGATTTAACCATGACAAATATTTTATGAAACTATATTTAACCGCAGTTTAACTATCATAAATTTTGGGCGTCTTGTAAGCCCTCAAAGACGGCCTTGCTAACATTGAATGTGTCATGCAAGTCTACAATTTTCTATTGAATTGTGAAAAAATAGTTCAGACCTGGAAAAATCCCCATTCTTTACAAGCATGATGTAGCTTCTCTACCTCAAGTTCATCTTCAGATAACAATTTACTTAAGTCAATGAGTGGAACTTGTTGTAAAGAAATTATATTTGATACAGCAATAGGGTCTTGATTTGGATGAAGATATTGTTCTAGAACTTGTGTGTTGAGTTGCTTTGCAAGATCTTGTACAGAAGGAACCAATAATGAGGTTCCAAACTTGGACATTATTCTTCAAGTGATGAATCTTCTTTCTTTAAGTTGATAAAATTTCAATCCACGGATATCCCGAACTTGAAATTGATCACTTACAATGTTAGGGGTTTAGCTGGTATTGGAAAGATAAAAGAAATTCAAAGTTGAATTCTAAAACATAAGACAACAATATTGTGCATTTAAGAAACAAAGATGGAAGTAATAGAAAGGAAAATGTTTTGTTTGTTATGGGGTTTCAATGACTTCAACTTTTTGTTTAAAGCATCTGAAGGAAGATCTGGAGGGTTATTGAATATGTGGGATAACATATAAGTATCATTTCAGAAAATTCTCATATTGAATCATGTTATATAGATAGAAGGGGAGTGGATGAAGACAAGAAAAAAATTAATATTTTCAACGTATATGCATAGTGTGATAGTAGAAGAAAGCAAGAATTATGGTTACATTTAGCTGTGAGAATTTCAAGGAAGATTGGCGAAAGGTTGTGCTTGGCTGGGGATTTTTATGTTGTCAAAACTATAGAATAAAGAAGAGGAGCATGTGAAAACAACAAAAGAGAAGATATGGAAACATTCGAAGATTTAATTGTTGAATCTGATTTGATAGATTTACTATTACATGTTAGAAAATTCATGTGATCTAGACCAGGGGGAGTTGTGATGAGTCGTTTGGATAGATTCTCATTAAAGAAGAATGGGTCAGAACATGGTCGTCATGCATACAATGGGGTTTAGTTAACTAGTTATCAGACCATTTCCATGTCATGCATTGTGAATCAGAGAAGAAATGGGGTTCAAAACCATTTCCAATGTTAAATTGTTGGAAAAATATTGATGGATATCACAACTTTGTAAGGGAGCATGGAACAACTAGGATATGGAAGCATGGGGGATGTATGTTTTAGAGGAGAAGTAGAAAATGATTTAAGATAAGTTGAGAGTGTGACACAAAAATAACACACATAATTTGGTTATAGGTGAAATGTGGTGGTCAAATATTAGAATCATAAAGGTGAATTTGTTGTTGTTTGAAATAATGCTAGGGCTAAAAGTAAATTATCACAAAAGTTAATCGATAGGAATCAACGTATCCTATTTTAAATGAAAAATATCATATTTTACAATTCATTATGCTTCGTTTGGAGAATGTTTTGAAATAGGATTCCAACAAAAGATAATCTAGTTAGAAGAATAGTTTTAGACCTAGGTTTAGTTTGATGTGTCAGAGTCTGGGAGTGAAGAGTCGATTTCTCGTTTATTTTTTTAGTGCCCAATTTTTATCAGAATTCGGTATTTTATTTATCAATGGCTAGGAATCACTACTATGTTACAAAGAGAAATATTGCAACACCTGGAGTATTTTAAAGGTTTGTTGGGTTGTGACAGATTGATGACAAAAAAAAATTGCGGTGGTGTGGTTTTCTTGCGTCTAGAGTTTATGAAAATCGATAAATTATAAGATTTTCTTAGACAAAGAAATTTTTGTTGAAAAGATAGCAGAAGAGGCTAATTGTTGTCTTAGAATTGGTTGCAAATTAAATCAAATAATATTCATGATAATGTATCGCAATGGAGTATGAATCTTAAGGCTTGCCTTGTAATTACAAATGATTAACTATTTTATATATATATATATATATATATATATATATATATATATATATATATATATATATATATATATATATATATATATATATATATATATATATATATATATATATATATATATATATATATATATATATATATATATATATATATATATATATATATATATATATATATGAGAAACCAAGGTGCATTTTTGGCATTGGAGTTCTAGGAGTTTACAGTGATGCAATCGATGTCTGGTTATTACTCTCTCTGTTTCAAAATAATTGTTGTTTAAAGTTTTTACACACAAATTAAGGAATATAATGATGTTGTCATAAGACATTACACTTTTACAAAATTAACCCTATTAATATATTGGAAATAGTGTAAAGAGTAAAAAGTAAAGGGCACAATTGGAAAAATAGTAATCATTACTACATTTAAAAGTGAAAATGATAGTCATTTTGAAACAAATTTTATTTGATAAAAGATAGTAATTTAGAAACAGAGGGAATAGTTTTCAAAATCGGAAAGTGGCTACAGTGGTCTTGATTTCATGTCTAAACAGTGGCAGTGCGACACTGCATCCTGCTGTTTGGAAGTCATGTAGCAGAGTGAATGCAAGTCTAGCGTTTTGTGTGTGGCAACATCAAACATGTATATTGTGGATTGATTTCGTAGTAGCAAGTTGTGTGTCTTCAACAAGTTTGTTGAATAGTAGCAGAAATAGGCAAATTGTTCAGCAGCATTCCATTCGTGTGTAGTTTCAACATCTGGTGCAACAACATGCAATTAATTAGAGGGGATAGAGTTAGTGTGGGATATTTCCAAATTTGACTTCGTGACTCAAATTGATTGCCAGAAGGCAAGAAGTAGGAAATTGCACAATTGGCTAAATGTATAATCATAAGAGTTTAAATCGAAGTAAGTTGCAATGGTACATGAACACCAATTTTAGCCTTGGAGTATGTTTCTTGTCTTAGATTAGGGGGTTTTAAGTGGCATTCATTTTTATTAGTGGGACTTCTTGGCTATGAAACACAAACACCTCTAGAAGTAGGCGTGTCGCGGTGTCCGACACGTGTCGGTGTCCGATACTTGTATGACATTTGTATGACACGTGTCAAAAAAGTCAAACAAGTGTCAGAAAAGTCAGACAAGTGTCTCCAAATAATTGGTGTTTTTCTTTGCTTCGACATATTTTGAATAAGTGTCTGTGATACGGTGGGAGAACTGACTTGAGTGTTTTGCATTTTATCGCAAATGTTGCGGTTAGTAAGAGTCGCCACTGATTTTTCTTTTATCCAAAAGGAAAGACTGAAAAGAACAAGAAAAACCTTTGAGATTATTTCTTGAGTTCGGGGGGTAGATTATGAAAAGGGAAGGTGTTAGAACCCTTTTCATCCATAGTTATATATGGGCTCTTAGTTGCTTGCTAGATCACTTGCTTTTGTTTGACTGTGTGCTTGTGGTGTGGTTTTTGAAAGTATTTTGAAAATATCTTTGTAATGGTTCTCGTTTCTATAAGAACACATACAAAGTGATGTTTCAAAAATAGTTCAAAGAGGTGTTTGTGGAATGTGTTTTTGAAAGTGATTTTAAAAAGGTGTCTTCTTTGTAATGGCTCTCGTTTCTATAAGAAGGCGTACAAAGTGTTTGTCTTTTGAAAAATGTTTCAAATGAGCGTGTTGGTGTATAAAATGTTTTTGTTGTGAGCAAGCAAGCAACTAGGAGCGAATCTACCTACTCAAAAGGTCTTAAATATTCTTTTTTTCCTCCTTTAGATGTTGCTATCTTACCATTGATTGATAAGAAGCCCCATCGTTGGATGTAAAGGGACGGTTGTGGGTCATCGTATAGTCATGAATAACAATGTTGTAAGATATCTTAGCATTTTCTTTAAGGGACTAAGATCATTCGTAAGGCAACATTTGTAGCGTCATCGAGAGGCTATGATCTTGTATTTTTTATTTGTTTACGCTAAGACATCCCACATGCATAACATGACTATTTTTAGGCAACAAGTAGAGTTAACCTTAAGGGTGCATGTGTGAATAGTGTGTTTGATTTGCATGCATTTAATCTTTGATTAGGGTTATCTACTTGTTAGTTTTATCTTCCCATGCAAACCCTATTTACTAGCATTTATATGAAAGCGATAAATTGCGGAAAGTAAATGTTCTACGCTATTACAATCATTAGGGGGATGAGGTATACAAATTTATAAATGGGGATTGCAAGAAATTAAACCTAATTATCTATTACAACCATATTAAAATAATGTACAAGAAATGAATAAATATAATGTACAAGAATATAAATGAAAAAGAAAAGGATTTTGTTTGGTTTTTTGAGGAAAGGGTCTTGATTTTAACCTAATTAACTAAAAGAAGTAATTAATTAAATTAAGAAAATTAAACCTAAATTAATTAATAAAAGAAATTAAGTTAGAAAGCATTTTTTAGAAAAGGTTTTAAGTTTAATAAAAATAGTATGGAAATTAATTAATTAAAAGAAAACCTAAATTCTAAGTTAATTTTAATTAAAAAAGAGAATAACTAAACCAAAATCTAATTATTAATTTAATAAGAAAAATAAATTAAATTTTTTATAAGAAAAATATTTTTTGTCTTTTGTTTTTAAAGGAATAAAATATATAGAATGCAAATAATAAATAAAAATATGTTTTGAAATTTTTTATATGAAAATAATAATAATAAAAATATAAAGAAAAAGTAAAAAAAAAATTAAAAAAAAAAAGGTTAAAAAAATGTTTTATGAGCTGACACATGAGCTTATGTATTGGCTCATGCAGGTTTCGTATTGGCTCATGTGTCGGCTCATGTATTGGCTCATGTATGTTTCTTGCTCTTGGAAGTCAAAATAACTCAGTATGAGTCGACGCATACTAGTTTCGTATCGACTCATAATCATTTTGTGTCGATGCATACGTATTTCGTGTCGTCTCATAACCTATTTTGAACATAATATGTGTCGACTCATAGCATTTCGTGTCGATGCATAACTGCTGTTTTTTGCTTTTAGCACTGTTTTGCTACATGTAAAAGTTAGTTCTCAACACATGGTTAGTGAAAATAAAAAGCAAGCATATGGTTAGCTTCAAGGCAATGATATCTACATTTTATCTTCACAAATGAACCATTAAGGATGCTTGTATGAAGAGTTCAAAGTCAAGAAAACTTACCTTGAAACTGAAATTTGTGCTTTGAGTTTGAGCTATTGTGTGGGCTATTGTTAAGCTTAGGAAGTGATGATAGTGTTGTTACAGAAGTTTTTTTTGTATTTTAACAACTTCTATATGATATGTGTAGAGTGTTTGGATGGTTTGTTTGGAGAAAACTTGTAAGGTATGAGATTCAAAGATTTGGACTTCAAAGCTCAAAAATGGAGGTT